GTATATCCCGGACCACTGGCTTATAAATGATACAATCAAGCTTTCAGTCCTATATCTGGCAATCTAGGAAATATCAACAAGGGGGTTTGAATTACCCAGATATAAGAATATGTTATTCTGCTAATATTATCCTATGGAGGAAGTACAGAAATGGGTACAACATAGGTTACTTGTGAACACCTGTTCATTCTTACCATCCAGGAGATCAAGTGTGGATATAAGAATGAAATAGTGTTCCATTAGGTCCAAAGTGGAGGGGTCCTTATGTTGTTCTTTTGTCCACTCCAACAGCTAAAAAGGTGGCAGAAGTGACTCAGTGGATTCATCATTCTAGGGTTAAACCAGTGGCTGACTCTTGGCAAGCCACTCCAGACCCTGAAAATCCTTGCAAGATCCGGTTAAAGTGGGTGACTCAGTCAGAGTGAGTGTGAAGTATTGGGACATCGTGGTTGAAACTACTATTTCAGGACCAGAAAGTAGGTGTTTTAATTCAGGAATAATTAATTTTATTGTGTGTTTATGTATTGTTATAAATTTTCAGGAAGGTAAGAGTACAGACATACAGAATTGTGATAGTTGCAGTAAGACTACAAAAACAGGTAATGAAATATCCCAAACTCTTATTTGGCACTCACAGTATGAATGTAAGGGATCTGTATGTAAATGTAGATATTTGGATATTGATTACAGTGTGTGTCACCCAGTAGAGGGAGAGTCTAAATGTTTTGATCCCCAATTCCAACCCCGTACAATTTGGTTGGTAATTCTGAATAGTAACTCTCAGGGGACCTTGATAAATAGGATGGTGATAAATACCATACATTCTACGGGTATTCTACTATTTGATGCATGTAAGGCGATCTCGGGTAGTGGAAAACCTTGGAATGTATGTGGTAATCTTTAAATGGGAATGAAGTTATGGGTTTAATGATAAATATTTATGTCCCAGTAAAAGATCTACTGATCCTGATTGCCCAAATAGAGATTTTAATTTTTGTCCATATTGGTCTTGTGTGGGGTGGGCAACCTGGGGTAAAACAGGAGACCAAGATATGATTATCCAAAGGTTGCCTACCACACCACATTGTAAATCTATGGAGTGTAATCCGGTCCATATGACCATTTCTAATCCACAACACTTCATAGACAAGTTTGGAAATCTATTTGGGTTCCAAATATACGGAACAGGGTTGGATCCTGGGACTATTATATATGTAGGAATTGAAACAGAGACAGTAGCAACCCAAACTCATCAGGTTTTTCATTCCTTCTATGAGGAGATGAGTATTGAGGATAGAATTCTATGTTTAAAAGAAGTAAAACTTCCGCAATAAGAATACATAGTCTTAAATTGGAGAGGCAAAGGTTTCACAATCATACCCGGATGTATTACGTTAACAGAAGGGTAGTGGATGCATGGAATAGCCTTCCAGCTGAAGTGGTAGAGGTTAACACGTAGAGGAGTCTAAGTGGGTGTGGGATATGCGTAAGGCTGTCCTACCTATAAGATAAGGCCAGGGACTAATGTCAGTGGTTAGAAATTGGGCAGACTGGATGCCGTCACATTCTATGTTTATGTTTTTAAGTCTGTGCTCGACTTCCTGCAGGTGGTTCGCGGGGTCAGTTGAGGCCCTGTCGCTCCCCAAGTTGCAGGTCCCCCTTGGCCCTGGTGCCCAAGTAGGAGGCAGGGGATTTTCGTCTGATTCATCATTTGCCCTGCCCTCAAGGGGTTTCGGTGAAAGATGTTGGGCGTCCTAGGCATCCTTCGATGCTGGAGTACGCATGGTCGCGGCGGTGGGCTTTGCTAACGTCGGAGCCGCGTTTCGCTTGTTGCCAGTTCATATGGATTGTCATAAACTCCTGGGTGGTGGGTTTGTGGTCGGTATTATGTGGATATGTGCTTCCCGATGTGTTGTTTATGTCCTGCTTTTACGTTGAGTGTGTCAGCACTTTCCTGGAGTTGGTGGTGCAGAAGGAGGCAAGGATTGGCTCGTTGCTGCGTTACCTTGATGGCTTTTGTGTGTGGGCCTTCGCTGACTTGACTCTTGCTCGACTCAGAGCTTTAGGGCTCTCTTAGAGCACGATAAGACAGTGGGGCCCAGTGACGTGCCTTAGCTCCTTGGGTATCAAAATTGACTCTGTGGCCATGGAGTGCTGGCTGCCACGGGATAAGGTTGAGAGGGTGTGGCGATGGCCAGGGGTCTGAGGAGGTTGCAGCTGTGCAAGCTGCAGTCCCTGTTAGGGAGGTTGACCTTCCACTGCCGGATCAGGTCCATGGGGCAATTGTCCTGCAGGTGCCTGGTGGTCGCTACTACCGGGACCGCTGCATTTTATCTGGCTCTGGAGGTCTGGGTTTCCTTCCTGACCGAGTATATTGGAAGGTCATCTTGGCAGGCACCGGAGGTGTCCAGTTCGGACTTGCCCCTCTATACGGACGTGGCTGGCTCTGTCTGGTTGGGGCGATTATGGAATCGCGCTAGTGTGCTGACATGGTCGGCGGCTTGACCAGCAATCTTGCCTTCCTGGAGCTTTCCCGTTGTGGTGGCATTGGATTTATGGGGTCGGGAGCTACAGGACAGTCGGTTGTTATTCACCGTGCCAACCTCGGGGTTGTCCAGGCGAATAGCTCTCGGCCCCCCTTTTCTCTTTTGGTACTTCCCCTGCTCCAGCGCCTGGTGCTCCAGTGCCCGTGTCTTCATGTGTCGTGTAGATCCGGTTCCTCTTGGGCCAAGGTACTACAGGGTATGTGTGGAATGTCAGGTGCGGGAGTTGGAGGTGGGTGTATTTGCGGGTTCGCCTGCTCGTTACAAGGTCTGTTGTGACTGCTGGAGCGTTGGGTTTCGGCAGATCTGTCGCCCTCCGGGGTGTCCTTGCACGTGTCCAGTTTAGTTTCTGGTTAAGTCCCAGGGTTGGGTGGCGGTCACCATGGAGTTTCTAGTATGGCATGCGGTGTAGGGCCCGTGCAGGGGTCGGTTTCTGTGGATCCAGAGAGGTCAGTTTTGGGGGCTACAATTGTGCCAGGTATGCCTCGCTGTTTCTTCATTTCTTTGGGGCCATGAGGATTTGGGTATTGGTGGGTCCGAACTGGTCCCCCCGTATGTCCGGGATGGTCAGGACCCGGTGTCCTTCAAGACTCGTCCATACAAAATCGACATCCTTTGCAAGGGCAGGTGGGTCCCTCTGGCAGTGGTCCCAGGAATGGACGCCTGTCTGGTCTGGGCGCTCAGGGAGTTCGCGGTACGGCTGGCCCGATCATGGTATACGGGGAGGGAAACTTCCTCTCCCATTTTCAATTTGTTTGGTGGTCATTCTTTCCGCATTGGCGCTGCGACGGAGGCCTCGCGGCTGGGTATGCTGAATCGGGATGTGCGGAGGATAGGAAGGTGGGACTCTAGGAGATTTGTTCCGGTGTGCGGGACGCTGGTTTGCTCCGTTGATTGTTTTTGTCTTCTCAGGGCGGATGATTGAGCACTCGAAGGTGGAGGTTCGGTGGTTCAGCGCCGGGGGGACATGAAGTTGGGAATGCCCTTAGCACGCGTCTATCAGCATGCGCTTGTAGTCGTGCATCTTCTGATCACGCTCCAGTGAGGGAATTAAGGATGGCACGTTGTCCTTGTAACGGGAATCTAGCAGGGTGGCCACCCAGTTATCAGAACAAGTTAGAATGTGGGCAACTCGGCAGTCGTTGCGCAGGCACTGCAGCATGTAGTCGCTCATGTGTGCCAGGTTGCCCAGAGGCAAGTATAAGCTGCCCTCTGTGAGAGTTGTATCGTCTGTGTCCTCCGTATCCCCCCCAGCCACGTTCCAGTGATGCCCACGAGCTGCGTTGGGTGCGACCCTGCTGTGAACACGGTTCCTCATCCTCCTCATCCTCCAGAACTGTGCCCTGGCTGGACAATTGTGTACCTGGCCTATGCTGGTGCAGGAACCCACCCTCCAAGCCACTTGTGATAACCGTGGAAATGACCCCTCCTCCTCCTCTTCCTCCTGTGCCACATCCTCTTCCATCATCGCCCGCAGCATTTTTTCAGGGAGACATAGGAGCGGGATAGTAAGGCGTCATCGGCACTGGCCATGTTGGTGGAGTACTTGAAACAGTGCAAAGTGGCACACAGGTCTCGCATGGAGGCCCACTCATTGGTGGTGAAGTGGTGCTGTTCCGCAGAGCGACTGACCCTTGCCTGCTGCTGCTCGCACAGTCTCTCCAGCATGTGTAAGGTGGAGTTCCACCTTGTGGGCACGTCACATATGAGGCGGTTAGCGGGAAGGTTGAAGTTAAGCAGCAGCACAGACAGGCAAGCAGCAGCAGGGTGAGAACGCCGAAAGCGCGCACAGACGGCCCGTACTTTCTGCAGCAGCTCTGATATATCTGGGTAGTTTTTCAGGAATTTCTGCACCACCAAATTCAGCACATGCACCAGGCAAGGGATGTGCGGAAAACCGGCTAGGCCCAGAGCTGCTACGAGATTTTGCCCATTATCGCACACCACCAGGCCGGGCTTGAGGCTCAGTGGCAACAACCACTCATCGGTCTGTTGTTCCATGCCCGTCCACAGGTCCTGCGCGGTGTGGGGTTTTTCCCCCAAACATATGAGTTTTAAAACAGCCTGCTGTCATTTCCCCCTGGCTGTGCAGAAGTTGGTGGTGAAGGTGTTACGCTGCCTGGATGAGGAGGTGGTAGAGGAGGAGGAAGCGGAGTAGGTAGGAGGAGGCAACAGGAGGCAAAGAAAAAATGCCCTGCAATCCTCAGTGGGGGAAGGACATGCGCCAAACTGCTATCCGCATCAGGCCCAGCCACCACTACATTTGCCCAGTGTGCAGTTAGGGAGATATAGCGTCCCTGCCCATGCTTACTGGTCCACGTATTTGTGGTTATGTGGACCTTGCCACTGATGGAGTTTCGCAGTGCATACCTGATTTTGTCCGCCAATTGGTTGTGCAGGGAAGGGATGGCTCGCCTGGAGAAGTAGTGGCGGCTGGGAACCATGTACTGTAGGACAGTGACTGCCATCAGGTTATTAAAACTGTCCATCTCCACCAGACGGAATGACAGCATTTTAAAGGCCACAAATTTTGAAATGCTGGCACTCAAGGCCAGGGATCGCAGGTGGGTAGGGGGGTACTTCCTCTTTCTCTCCAGTGTTTGGGAGATGGACAGCTGAACACTTCCATGGGACAGTGTGGAGATGCTTGGGGACCGTGGAGGACGTGGTGGCGTTGCTGCCACATCCTCTGTTTGCTGGGTGGCAGGTGCACTGTCACTCCAGAGGTGGAGGACAAGGCCGAGACAGCAGCAGAAGAGGAAGCAGGAGGAGCCTGAGACCTTTCTTGTAGATGAAGCCACCCATCAACACTTGTGGTTACCTCTAAGGGTATAGTTGGGATAGTACCTGAGGGATTCTCAAAGTCTGTGGGAGACCGCGTTGCCAGAGAGCTGCCGATTGTGTTAGCGGCTGAGCTTTACAGCACCTGGTAATTCGACTGTCAACCTACCTGAGAGCCCACGATGTGAGGGCATGCTGCCGCCTTTTGAGGCCATCTTGGAGAACTGCTGTGCCTTTCCAGGTCACATGGGGCACTGTGGCTCAAAGCATGGGTTTTGAGCTTATCCAGGGCTTGAGAGTAATGGGAAGGGGAGGGGGCACCGCAGACCTAACATAGTTTACCTGATTACCTCATGGAGTTCCGCACCATTCCAGTTGGAGGGCTGTAAAATCTGGTTGGAATCGTCACTGTTAAATCTTCTTAATTTCTTCTTGTCTTCAGTTGATTGATATATATACATCTTTTGTATATATAGTCTTGGGCCAAATGCTCGCCACAATAATATATGTCTATATTATTAAAAAGTACTAATACGCAGTCTGACTTACGGTTTCTTCAGGTTTATTCTTAGTTACTGATACATAATGAAACAACAAATGATGTTACAGGATAATGGACATTCAACAGCAGATGGTAATTGCTGGACTTCTTTACATCCTTACATCTTTACATCGAGAGAGAGAGACAGAGAGAGCCCAGCCAAGACAGAGCGCGACCTCGTGCCCCTCTGTTACTATGTAGATGTGCTCATACTAACGTCAGTGTGGCGAAACCGACCTCGCCACGTGTCTTTGGAGGGGGCTGCTTGCCCGCCTCTTGCCTTTGGACTATGGACCAGACTTTATGTGAATGTGTTAACCCAGATAGCTATGCCATGGAGCCCATTCGTGTAGTTAAAGACTTCGGCTCCATGGCAATTGAACTGTGTGAATAGGATCTGAGCGCTATTCGGTAGTTTTGTGCGCTCAGATCCCAGCTATCTGGGGATATGTGAAATGTCTGTGTGTTATGTGTAAAAGGTGACTTTATGTATTTTAAAGTGTTTTATGTCTTTTTGCAACCATGTGCTCAATGGAGTCTGCCTCTATCCCTGGATAATTGGATTACTTTCCCCATTGTCTCCAGGATAGAGGGCTCTGTAAAACCTGTTTGAGCCAGATATCCATGTGCCAGCCAGGGCCCAAAAGATACTTTTACTAACTTTTGAACCCCTGGTCTGATTCATGCTATTTTTTAATATGTTGTTCCCCTGAATGGATTGATTGTGAATATGTAATTTTATGTGAATGTGATGTATGGTTTTAGAGTTATGAAAGTTGGGTAGAAAGCATGTTTTAACTGTATGTGTAATTGAGTTTCCTCTCAGGATAAGGGGAGGGAATATGTGGGATGTAAATGATATGTGATTGGTTGTTTTATACCTCCCTGTGGGCGGTCCTGTATTTGAAAAGACTGTAATAAAAACCAGGCTGGGTGTGCCAGCACAGGAGTTCCTGGTTTAACCCTCAAAGTGAAGTGTCGTCTCATTATTGGGGGAAGGATTTATTGTATGCTGTTCCAGTTTGACTGCTAGGAGAGTAAACCTATTCGTATGGTTCCTATTCAACTGTCTACAGCATTCATATGCTTGAGAGGATTCATATGCTTTTCCAGTTCGTGAGATTGGGGAATTCAAGTATGTGCAGTTCGAGGATTTGGAAGATTGGTGCTTGCTGTAGCTGCTTGTCTGTCTGGAAGGGGATTATCGCCTAAACGGTTTTTAACCTCTGATGAGCGAAACAGTCTGTTACAGTCAGCGTTTAACACTAGCCATATAAGGATAAACCCCCCAAATCCACATTCCAGAGCTCTCAGACAAAGAAAGCCTTGTGACTTATTGATACCATCTGTTACTTATGTCAATACACACATCCATATATATAATCAATAGAAACATAGAATATGCAATATTCTACATTCCCTCTGTTTATGGTTTGTTTTACAATGTCACTAACCTGTCCATTCATACATCACTCATATCACATTCATTGAGTATAGAACAAGATGTAGTCACAACTTTCTATTATATGAGAGTTCTTAGACAGTAGAGTTTCTATCCCTCATACTGCTTACTTTACTTCAAAACTCCGTCTGTTTCAGCTATGTATTGATATCCATATCCATTTTACATCATAACTACTTGAACATAATATATACATATATAACAATAATAAATAAATACAATAAAATATTTACAAATGTTGATCCAATAAACAATAAAGCAATCAGAAAGATCTACCTGCTCTGGTACAGTCGTATCTTTGTAGATAACAAAATCAAGATCGTAACTTTCTAAATAACGGTGTATCACTATCATACTCCTACAGACACATATAGCATAGTATGTATAGTACCTGATATTACTTAAGTACTAATACATGTATTGCTTGTATATCCCGTCCAATTATATTTCCAAGAATCATATGTTTTCTAGTGAACTTAAACTCTTTAGGTCATTTGTATTCAAGAATTACATTCCTATACCATTAATACCACCTAGTGATGATTGTATCAGTACTTTACAATCATAGTATTTAATTTGTATATTCAGTAGGCTCTCACTACCTGAAATATATCAACACATCCTTTGAATGAGTCTTATAAGTAGTGTTATCAACAATGAATTTCTACAATAATTCTTCAAATAATGTTCATGGTGTTTACAATACTTATTGTCCTAGAAATTCTCCACTAGGAAATCTTTCTATCATAGATTTGTTTTTGTTTACATAATTATAATTTTCACTAAAATTCCACCTTGTAGTAACAAACTTTTCATTCAATCTGAGAATGGTTTACTTTAAAAGAACTTGGAAAAAACAATTTAAATTCATTATCATCACTCTCTTCATTAGCATTGTGATGACTTATTAATGTAATACATCTTAATAGCAGGATTGTCCTAATGTTCTGGCCAATCCGTATTCCTTAGTACACTTCAACTGACTATAAAATAAAATAAAATAAACTTGGGATCATACTGCCCAGAAACTCATTCCTAGTCTGTGTCTAACAAAACTCAGGGAAATCATAACGTATCCATTGGATATCACCATATCCAGAAACCTATTCTCTGTAGTCCATACCTTTATAGACTTAGGTCAAATATAATCGTGTACTATACTCTTAACTAAACTTCAATTCAATTCCTCTGGGATCTCTGAACTCTTATATCCAAGGTATTCCTAATGTATACCATTACTTAATATTAATCAATATAAATTATCCTTAATATAAATTATCTGTTATGACACGTACCGTCGGGTAGATGAAGCCACCGTTTAGTGAATAATCCCCTTCTCCAGAAATGCAGTTTAAATCCAGCCGACCGCCAAACTCCCGAACGAAGTCCACGAACACGGCAACTCCCGATCAGCAAAACAGTCGAACGCCTTCAAACAGCTAAAAATAACGAAAGTGCTGTCCCAGTAATAATTCCCCCCACAAACGAGACCACGCTCCGTCTTGAGGGTCAAATGAAGATCTGTTTAATGGGGGCTACCTGCCCGGTATTTATGCAGGTCTCCACAAGGTGGACACTCCCCGAGGGGACCTTGTGGAAGACTGTAAAACATATTGGACAGTAGCCAATCGCAGTGGCTTCAATAATAGCCCTTCCCATCTTACCCATAAATCCGTCTTCTCTACCCCGGAGATAATTAGGAAGAAACCTAATTATCTCCCAAGGTAGAGACAATCGCCATTTTAACTTACAGTAATAAAAATACATTAAAATACATAACTGAAGAAATACCGAATGCATATAGTTCGTGTAACGTATCCCCAGACAGCCTGGATCTGAGTGCATGTTTTCACCGAATAGCGCTCAGATCTGATGTATCTAGTCGAATCGCCATGGAGTCAAAGTCTTTCACCAGTCCTTCGGTATACGAATGACTCCATGGGATGGCTGTCTGGGTGAAAGTCCATACGAATGAATAAAAACTCCCGAACGACCGACGTTCGCATGCCTTGTCGAAATGAAAGGTAGGCAGCAGCTTCCAGCGGTGTTCGGTAGTTTAAGTGTCCGTTTTTAGTTCCATACAGTTTGTACCGAACACCGCTATGCGTTCGTATGTCCCAAAATGGCCGCTGCCTCGTGGTCGACATGCAAACGACGACCACCCGTACGAATGGAATGGAGAGGTCTCTGCGGTTAACCACAACGTTCTAATTGGGGCCAAGAGGTTAACCAGCAGCACACTCCTCTCCTGGGTGGTCGTTCGTTCGGTAGTTTCAATCGGTAGTTTGCAATTTACACGAACGGGGGTATATGAACAGGAAATCCAAAGGAAAACAGACGAACCAGCAATACAGATGAATCTGTCACACGGCTCCCCCCTTGTGGGACACTCCGGCAGACCCGGCTTGACCCTTTGGCGGGTCAACGTGGGGATGACCGGACTAAGATGGGGTGAGGATGTTGGTTTGCCTGGACAATCCTTCTGCATTCCCGTTCTGCTTACCGGGTCGATAACTGATGGTGAGGTTATAAGGTTGAAGGGCTAAACTCCACCTCAGCAGTCTGCCATTGTCTCCGGAGACCCGGTTAAGCCAGACAAGGGGATTGTGGTCCGTCACCAGGGAAAATTCCTGTCCATATAAATACGGGCTTAACTTTTTCAATGCCCACACCAGGGCCAAACACTCCTTCTCCACTGCCGCATAACTCACTTCTCTGGGTAACAGCTTTCTACTGAGATATGCGACAGGGTGCTCGCCTCCATCTTCCCCAACCTGGCTCAGCACAGCCCCCAGTCCATACATGGAAGCATCTGTATGGACGAGAAAACGTTTGTTAGGGACTGGGGCAGCCAGGACAGGGGCATTCACAAGAGCTTGTTTGAGTGCTTGAAACGCAGCTTCACAAGCTGGAGACCACAGGACCTGTTTAGGGAGATTTTTCTTTGTCAGGTCAGTCAGGGGTTTAGCAATAGTGCTGTAGTCGGGGACAAAGCGTCTATAGTACCCTGCTGTCCCTAGGAATGCTAACACCTGGGTCTTAGTGATAGGTGTGGGCCAGTTAGCTACTGCCTCTATCTTGGCTGGCTCTGGTCTCTGGCTCCCACACCCTACTCTGTGACCCAGGTACTGCACTTCAGCCATGCCTAAATGGCACTTCTCTGGCTTCAATGTCAGGCCAGCGGCCCGAATCTTGTCCAGTACTACCCCTACATGTACTAGGTGTTCTTCCCAGGACTCACTGTAGATCGCAATATCATCCAGGTATGCACAAGCAAATTCCTGGAATCCATCAAGAAGTCTATCCACCATACGCTGGAAGGTAGCCGGTGCATTCTTCATCCCAAATGGCATGACCTTAAATTGGTACAGGCCAAATGGGGTGACGAAGGCCGACTTGGGGATAGCATCCTCGGCCAGGGGAATCTGCCAGTAGCCTTTGCACAGGTCTATGCGATCCGTCTGGGGGTCCCTCTCTAACAAATCTGGTAAGGGTAAACTTTCTGTATCATCTGCAGCAGGGGCACATACTGCAGCGACATTCTCTGGTCTCTCCTGATACTCCCCTGGCAATGCGTCCCCTGGCAATGCGACCTAACAATTCATCTACCCGGGGCATCGGGTAGGCGTCAGTGGTGGTCCGCTCATTGAGACGCCTGTAGTCCACACAGAACCAGGTGGTCCCATCCTTCTTGGGCACCAGGACTACAGGCGAGGCCCAAGGGCTATCGGAGTGTTCGATGACCCCCAGCTGGGTCATCTCCTGTATCTCCTTCCGCATTCCTTCCCGGACTGCTTCAGGGATACGGTAAGGGGGTTGTCGCAGAGGGTTCTGTCCAGGGGTTTCTACCTTGTGTACAGCTAGGGTAGTGTAACCAGGTTCTTGGGAGAAGGTCGCCTGCTTTTCCCACAGAAGCTGTCTTGCCTGGCCCTTCTCGGTGGAGCTCAATCTGTCCCCTAGCTGTACCAGGCTAGTAAGATCCGTCTGGGGGTCCCTCTCTAACAAATCTGGTAAGGGTAAACTTTCTGTATCATCTGCAGCAGGGGCACATACTGCAGCGACATTCTCTGGTCTCTCCTGATACTCCTTTATTATGTTCACATGGAAGGATCGCTGGATCCTTTCATCTGAACAGCTGGCTATAAGGTAGGTAGTATCACATATCTGTGCTAACACCTTATACGGGCCCTGCCAAGATGCCTGCATCTTGTTTGCCTTCACAGGTTTGAGTACTAACATTTTCTGCCCAACCTGGAAGACTCGCTGTCGGGCACCCCGATCGTACCACCTCTTCTGTCTCCCCTGAGCCACCTGGAGATTCTCCCTTACCATTAGGGACAGTTTCTCCATGTGGTCCCGGAGTTCCAGAATATACGGTACTATGGGGGTCCCTTCCTGCTCTGTCTCCCCCTCCCAGTGGCCTCTAATGAGATCTAGGGGTCCGCGGACCCTTCTCCCATATAGCAACTCAAAGGGGGAGAACCCAGTAGATTCCTGGGGCACCTCTCTGTAGGAAAACAACAGATGAGGCAGGAATCGCTCCCAGTCTCTGCAAGTGTCAGAAAAGGTCCTCAGCATCTGTTTGAGGGTACCGTTAAATCGCTCGCAGAGACCGTTAGTCTGTGGATGGTAAGGTGAGCTAAGCAGCGGTTTAATGCCGCACACCTTCCACAGTTGCTGGGTGAGCACAGCGGTGAATTGGGTTCCCTGGTCAGAGAGAATCTCTTGAGGGAACCCGACTCTGGTAAAAATCCTAACCAGGGCATCAGCAACTGTCTCTGCCTCTATATTAGACAGCGCTACTGCCTCTGGATAGCGAGTGGCATAATCCACCACGGTGAGAATATATTTCTTACCGGATGGACTAGCCCTGGCCAGTGGACCCACAATGTCAACGGCTATGCGGGCAAAGGGCTCCCCAATGATAGGCATAGACATAAGCCTAGCTCTTGGGTGGTTCCCCCGCTTTCCTACCCGTTGACATGTGTCACACGTACTGCAGTATGTCCGAACAGCCTGATTAAAGTTTGGCCAAAAGAAGTTCTGCATGATCCTATAGCCTGTGCGGCGGGAACCTAGATGTCCAGCTAGGGGAACATCATGCCCTATCCGCAGAATCTCTTGCCGGTATTTTGCGGGCACCACCAGCTGTCGATTCGGCAGAGGGGCAACACTTTTCGGGGAAAGCTTGGGGATCCTATACAACCTGTCCCCCACCCACTCATACCGTTCCCCATCTAATCCTTCCTCTCCAGTATCCGCTCTGTCCCTATACTTCTGGAGTGTCGAATCTGTCTGAGTTTCCCTCCCAAACTCCTCTGGGGAATCTCAGCTAACAAAGGTCGGTTCTAGGGTACCAGTCGGGGAATCGGGTCTTACCTGGGTCTCAGCAGCAGGTGGGCTGGTTCCAGCAGCACGGGTCTGGGCACGGGTAGTCACTGGGTTGACATCGGCAGGTCCCATTGGAGCATAAGCGGATACCAAAGGGGCCAAGTCATTCCCAAGCAAAACATCAGCAGGCAAGTCTTTCATGACCCCCACATTCACATGTCCAGAGCCCACCCCCCAATCCAAGTGAACCCGGGCAACCGGTAAACGGAACACTGCACCTCCCGCCACCCTCACTGCCACAGTATTTCCAGTGTGCTGGTGTTCTTAAACCAGGTTCTTTTGGAGCAAAGTCATAGTGGCTCCGGTGTCTCTCAGACCCGTTACTGCTTTGCCATTCAGTTTAACAGTCTGCCTGTGCTGTTGACGGTTATCCTGCTGCGCTGCTTGTACTGGATCCGCCTCATGTAGTATACCCCAAAATTCCTCCTGCTCAAGACAGTGAGCGGAAGGTTGGGGTGGCTGCTGGTTTCCGCCGGCTGGTCTTCTCCACGACTGGGCTTGGCTAGAATTGTTTAATGGGCACTCGGGTCGCTTGTGCCCCAACTGCTTACACCCATAGCACCGGATAGGCTGTGAGTAATCCCGGGCGTTGAACCGGGCTGGCTGAATATAATTGTTCGCTGTTGGCATGGTGGGGGTGCGTTGCGCTGGGTGTTGGTACACTGCAGTGGTTGGAGGGGCTGCTGGTTTCTACTCCACTCGGGTAGGGACCTTGGCTGCTGTCTGGTCCAGTTTCTTGGCATCAGTGTACTCATCAGCCAGACGAGCAGCTTCGGGTAAGGTAGCGGGTTTACGGTCCCTAACCCATTCTCTGACTCCTGTAGGTAAGCGGTCAAAGCAGTGCTCCAACAAAAATACTTGCAGTACTTCTTCCCCAGTTACCGCTTGGCACCCTGCCATCCAGTGGGCTGCTGTGCGGTGTACTCGGCATGCCCACTCAACATAAGAATCGCCAGCCTGTTTGTTAGTGTCCCGGAATCGCCGCCTGTATGCCTCAGGGGTCACAGCGTATCTGGCCAAAAGGGCATCTTTCACTGCCCTGTAGCTGGTAATTTCCTCCTCTGGGATGGCCCGAAACGCCTCACTGGCCCGGCCGGATAACTTCCCAGAGAGGATAGTGACCCATTCCCCTGTGGGTACCTGGTGTAAGGCACATTGCCTTTCAAAATCAGCCAGGAACCCATCAATTTCTCCTTCGGCTTCTACAAAATTCTGAAATGCAGCAAAAGGTACTTTTCTTCTTCCATTATTATTATACGGTACCTCAGCTGCTGCAGCGCCTCTTCCCTGAAGCGCCTGTTGTGCTGCTACTGCTGCTTGCACTTGAACCACAATATCTGCTGCGGGGTTGGGGCCAAAATGTGCCAGCCTGATCTGAACTGCCCGTTTAAATTGTATCTCCTCGGGTGTTAACTCCAGTATGCCAGGCACATCAGCTCTTCCCGTTCCCTGTGCTGCATCCATTTCCAATAATATGGCAATAATCTCTCTTTTCTTGAGATTACTCGCTGATCGTCCTCTGCGTTCTAATATATCTTTAAGGGTAGCACGCCTTAACTCTTCATACTGCATTTCCAACCTGGGATGTGTAGCTGGCCTTCCGGGCGGTAGGATTCATCCCACCGCTGCCACGAATTGTTACGACACGTACCGTCGGGTAGATGAAGCCGCCGTTTAGTGAATAATCCCCTTCTCCAGAAATGCAGTTTAAATCCAGCCGACCGCCAAACTCCCGAACGAAGTCCACGAACACGGCAACTCCCGATCAGCAAAACAGTCGAACGCCTTCAAACAGCTAAAAATAACGAAAGCGCTGTCCCAGTAATAATTCCCCCCACAAACGAGACCAAGCTCCATCTTGCGGGTCAAATGAAGATCTGTTTAATGGGGGCTACCTGCCCGGTATTTATGCAGGTCTCCACAAGGTGGACACTCCCCGAGGGGACCTTGTGTTAGACTGTAAAACATATTGGACAGTAGCCAATCGCAGTGGCTTCAATAATAGCCCTTCCCATCTTACCCATAAATCAGTCTTCTCTACCCCGAAGATAATTAGGAAGAAACCTAATTATCTCCCAAGGTAGAGACAATCGCCATTTTAACTTACAGTAATAAAAATACATTAAAATACATAACTGAAGAAATACCGAATGCATATAGTTCGTGTAACGTATCCCCAGACAGCCTGGATCTGAGTGCATGTTTTCACCGAATAGCGCTCAGATCCGATGTATCTAGTCGAATCGCCATGGAGTCAAAGTCTTTCACCAGTCCTTCGGTATACGAATGACTCCATGGGATGGCTGTCTGGGTGAAAGTCCATACGAATGAATAAAAACTCCCGAACGACCGACGTTCGCATGCCTTGTCGAAATGGAAGGTAGGCAGCAGCTTCCAGCGGTGTTCGGTAGTTTAAGTGTCCGTTTTTAGTTCCATACAGTTTGTACCGAACACCGCTATGCGTTCGTATGTCCCAAAATGGCCGCTGCCTCGTGGTCGACATGCGAACGACGACCACCCGTACGAATGGAATGGAGAGGTGTCTGCGGTTAACCACAACGTTCTAATTGGGGCCAAGAGGTTAACCAGCAGCACACTCCTCTCCTGGGTGGTCGTTCGTTCGGTAGTTTCAATCGGTAGTTTGCAATTTACACGAACGGGGGTATATGAACAGGAAATCCAGCGAACAAAGGAAAACAGACGAACCAGCAATACAGATGAATCTGTCACATTATCCTTCCTTAGTTTTCTTCCTTATGTTACCATTGTTTGTTTTACTTCACCTCAATTATAAACAAAATATTTATTCTAGTGAATCTATGAAATACCATTGCACTCAATCTTTGTAGTATTAAGTAACCATGATCCTTATATTATCAACTTCATATTTATCTACCTCTGATACTTCTCATCCTATGTATAGGTCATGATATAATTCTTTTCATAATACTACCCTATCATAATTTTACTCCATGTGTGATATAGTTATAAGTACTCTCTTTTGGTATTAATACACTCATAACTGTTAAATAACTTTTCATTGTCTCTTTTCTTCTTCATTAATATTTAGGAATTAATTTGTATGTTAGTGCCAATCTTTTATTTCTTTGTAAGTCTGTTAATCTTCTGTATCAAATTAACTCTGTAGAATCTTCCATCACAGTTTGCAGATCAGATGAAAAATCTCTTTCCAACAGTCGATGTCCAGTTGTCTAAAGGAATTCTTTCCTAATTTACTGCCACAATGATCTGTCACGCTTTACCTACATTAAAACAAAAAACATGTGCAGCATCAATACAGTGGCTTACAATGTGTATATTTCATTATTATTATACAGTTTAACACTGTTGTGTAGTCCATGTAATTCATTCTCATTTCTTCTCATGAGATCTACAATCTAGTGGTCATTACATTTATGCCATTTGATGTATAATCTTTACATATCCTTTATATTAAAATCTTTCTGAACATTTAAATTTGCCAAACTTTCTATTAATCATACCCCCCTTTTAAACTGTTTAATAATCTGGAGGTATAACCTAATCACATGTCACATGCTGCAACAAAATATTGTTTTCCACTATACTTTAGCAATAGCAGCCATCTTGTCTTAACACTGGCACAATTTTGTCACATGAAACAAACTACAAAAAACATATATTGTTTCCTACATCAAATGTATTTGTAAATCTAGGTTTTATTCTATCCAAACTTTTGTCTTCTGTTACAAAAGACTTGAAATGACTCTGTTATTGTTAATACATGTTGCTACTGTTACAACTCTATACGTTTAAGCCGAGGATACACAAATGGATTACACAAACTCTCATAAAGACCCCATTCAT